AAATCCCCAAGATGTGATACCATTCTTGATGCAGTTCAGGATAAAAATATGGATTGCTTATTACAGAGCGATATTTAGAAGAGGAAAGCATTGTACTCATTTCATAGCAACTATTTGCACAATAAGATTTTGGGGTTTTAAACACCTTTGTAACTATTCAGCCAGGTGAATATTAAAGACTCTCTTCCTTCAGAATTAAGAAATTTGGGGACAATATTTAAAGTCATAGTTTCCATTTAACTTTCACCTTTTAAATTACCAAAAGACAGACTATTTTCATTATTTTTATTTTTCATTATTTGTGAAGCAAGGCAAGCTGGTGCTGCTGTTGGGTCTTGGGCCTTTTATTGATAGGTTTGGGGCTCCTTGACCCAGCTGCAGCTTGTTGGACAGGTTTTAGCCTAAGGACAGGTCATTCACATGCAAAAGCACCTGCTCATAGCTTTGGGCTGGATTGTAAATTGGATGGGGTAGGGTCTCAGGGAATCATCAGGGTGGAGCAAACGGAAATGGCTGCCAGTCAGCTCTGCAACTGAGGAGGTCCCAGCACAGCAGGCGTCTTCAAACTACGGCCAGCGGGCCACATGCGGCCCGCAGAGGAGTCTGATCCGGCCCGCCAGGTTTTTTGGGCAGTGAGCGCAGCCGAGGTGTTACAGTAGAAATTAGTAGTTCATATAGTCCGGCCCTCCAGCTCTCTGAGGGACCGTGATCTGGCCCCCACTTTAAAAAGTTTGAGGACCCCTGCAGCACAGGAACAAAGATCCTTGTGAGTACCTCTCTCTGGAAGAAGGTTGCCCCTAAGTTCCTGTCTTGATACCAGACAGTCCAGTTTCTCCTTCTATATGTCTGAGTCCCCCAGCGTTGGAGCTCAGTGGAAGTGAGAACTTGTAAATTCAGTTTTTGTGCTGGCCATTTAAGAGGAGCAGCTGGATTTCCAGCAGCTTCTGTATCCCTGAGCCCCAATCCCCAGTGGTTTTCACAGCCCATAATTCTACTGCCCTAGTAATTTCTTTTCCCAGCTCTGGTATCCTGGGCTGGGGGGCTGGTGTGGGGTTGGGACCCTTGTTCCTCCAAATGGCCTCCACAGAGATAATCTCCCTCCTGATGAAGAAAGCAGCACAACTGGGTACTGAACCAGCCCATTCCTCACCTCCCACCTCCTACCAGTCTCAGTCTGCTGCCTTTTTCACTTCTTTAGTTGCAGTATGTCCATTCAGCCTGCTTTCTGGCAGTTCTGGATGATGGTTGTTCTGTATTTTAGTTGTAATTTTGGTGTGGTTATGGTATGCAGCAAGTACAAGTATTTGCCTATGCTGCCATCTTGGTTCTTTCGCACAGACCATTTTTAAATTAATTGCTCACTAGCCCCTTCAATTTTAACTATGTTTGTGTCTAAATATGATTCTTTATTCACCAGGGTTTCATTTGCTAGAGATCAGTTGTCTCAGCAAAGAAATACATTATTCTGAAGGTCCCTAAATGGTGACAGAGGTGAGGGCTATGGGCAATACCTATGGCTCAACCATAAGCTACAATTGATGTTTTTGTTTTGAATAAGTCAACCACAAAGCTACCAACTGCCAGTGTAATTGTAGCTGGTGAAACCACATATGTTCCTCCTGAAGGGCACAAGGTCAGCATTTGATAGGCAGGCATAAAATATGCACGTGCCTTATCGTCCTGGTGTAAGCTTTCTTCTAGTTTGGAGGGTCAATTTTCACAAACTTTCAGAATTGATACTTTGAAAATTCCCTCTGGATTTAAATTATGGAAGCTGTTGGCAGTTTTTATTTGCTTTACTTTTATTTAAATGCAACCATTTGTGAAGGGGAGCTTCTGAATTTACAATGTGGTTATTTTTTTCCAAAATGGAAATTTAAATGCAATTATTTTACTTATTTCAGCTCTAAACAAATGTAAAGATAAATACCACACACTAAAGGGGCAATGCTAGCACTGAAAGCTAAGCAGTGATTTTTGGTTTATATTTTAAAATAATGAAATGTATTTTTCAACACACACACACACACACACACACACACACACACACATATATATATATATTAGTGTAAGAATAATATTGTAGACTAGTTTAAAAATTTGACATTATTTATTTATTTATTTTTATAGCAAAAAGTGGAAATTTATTGAAAAATGAGCATAGACTCCCATGTAGAGAGGAGTAAAGAGTCCCCTAAAATTTTGGCATTTTAAAATAAACCAATAATAGCCAGTGTCTATATTATTTAAGGCAGTCTAATTTGCACAGAAAGAAAGGAGTTTTTAAAAATTATGTCTTGCCCTAACTGGTTTGGCTGAGTGGATAGAGCGTCGGCCTGCAGACTGAAAGGTCCCAGGTTCGATTCTGGTCAAGGGCATGCACCTTGGTTGCAGGCACATCCCCAGTAGGGGGTGTGCAGGAGGTACCTGATGGATGTTTCTCTTCCATCGATGTTTAACTCTCTATCCCTCTCCCTTTATCTCTATAAAAAATCAATAAAACATATTAAAAATTATTATGTCTTAATTTTTGTTTCTAGATTCCTTTATTAAATTTCAGCTTTTGATTCCTGTGTTTTATATGATAACATTTCAAAATAAATCATACCAGTCTTAGTTCAAAGAGAGCATTGTGATGGATAGACCCAAGAGTGGGCCAAGCACATGTTAAGACCTAGAATTATCAAGTTGGTAATTGCCAAGGGCAGAATGTAAGGCAGTTCAAAGATTATCCAATATGTGTAGGACCCATATATGCATAGAAAATCCTCAAACACTTCCCTCTGAGCTAAGCATTTTTCTGACATCACCAAAATCTACTCTTCATAAATTGCTCTTATCTCAATATTAAAAATAAGAGAATGAGGTTTAGAAATTATTTGTTCCCCTGGCCAGTGTGACTCAGTGGTTGAGCATTGTACTATGAACCAGGAGGTCACAGTTCAATTACCAGTCAGGTTACATGCCTGGGTTGTGGGCTCAATTCCCAGCAGGGGCTATGCAGGAGGCAGCCAATCAATGATTCTCTCTCATTGATGTTTCTATCACGTTCTCCCTCTCCCTTCCTCTCTCTGAAATAAATAAAAACACACTAAAAAAAAAAAAAAAGAAATTAAGTGCTCAAGTTTACCCAGCTAATAGTAGTAAATTACAGAGCCAGCAAAACTTGCTATTTACAACCATGCAAAGAAGCTGGACACACTCCTTATAGGTTTTGGTGGTGGCCATCTTGGACCTTTCCGTAAAGGAAGTGGTAGAGGATGGTGCTAGCTGAAACCAGATAAGCAGGTGCCTACCTGCTGAGACTGCCTGTGTAACCATCCCCTAAACCACTGGTAGGCAAACTGCGGCTTGAGAGCCACATGTCTCTTTTTGGCCCCTTGGTGTGGTTCTTCCACAAAATATCATGGCCTAGGCGAGTCTATTTTGAAGAAGTGGCACTAAAAGAAGTTTAAGTTTGCTGAAACTGGTTTGGCTCAGTGGATAGAGCATTGGCTTGTGAACTGGGAGGTCCCAGGTTCGATTTCGGTCAGGGGCATGTACATTGGCTGCGGGCATATCCCCAGTGCCGATGTGCAAGAGGCAGCTGGTCAATGTTTCTCTCTCATCAATGTTTCTGGCTTTCTATCCCTCTCCCTTCCTCTCTGTAAAAAATCAATAAAGTATATATTTTTTTAAAAAAAAGAAGAAGTATAAGTTTAAAAATTGGGCTCTCGAAAGAAATTTCAATCGTTGTACTGTTGTGTTGATATTTGCTCTGTTGACTAATGAGTTTGCCGACCACTGCCCTAAACTAATCTGAGTCATTGGTTATGATCCAAACTCTCCTATTTAAATGTTTACCTAAAGTTATAGTAACTATTTAGTACTTAATTTGGTATACTGTTTTCTGGTTTTCTTCTTTTTATCAATTGCTCATTCATTTACATGTTTTGCTCTCTTGTATTTCCCACTCATTCCTTGACACAAAATAATGAGAATCTTAGCTGTTGCTTCTTCCTTCATCCCCCTGCCCTGCCCTCCTCTTGGGAAATGAGAAATCAGAATCCTTTTTCTCTCTCCTCTGCTCAAATTTATCCTCATCACTCTTGGATCTGGTGTAGTTTTTACAATATAACTATAAAAGATGACATTTCATCCTCTGAGAAAAATGTCTTGGTTATATCCCAGCTAAATGGATGGGTGGATTTTTCATCATGACTTAATTTTGTGACCCAATTGGGAAAACTTTCAGTTTTATTAGCAGCTGTCTTCTCTTTTCTTATCAGATATTCAGCTTTTAGCACCTAGTTCAGAAGAGGAAACACATGGTTTGAAGTTATTATATAGACTTCACAAATCCTTCCAAACAATTTTTCTTAGGTAAGGAAACAAACAAATGGATGCCTAAGATCTTTCAAACAGAGCTGTAAAATTTGCAATCTATATAAACAGGGCATCTGAAAGGAATGCTTGCTTAGCTTTCATCACATTAAGACGTGCTGATAGGAGTGAAAATAGAAAAGAAGATATGTGTATTTTTCCTTCCCCCACAGGTTGAAGGTTGACTTTAAAAGGGAAAATGCTGAGTGTTTCTTAAAACAAAATGGGTACTCCTTTGTTTCCCCTAGACATTAGTTGCCAATCTGTAAACATTTCAAGAGGAAATTGTACACCACCTCATCTGTGTGACAAGTGACATTTACTGGTTGGGTGACAGACACACTGGGGCACAAATCTGGGGATTAAAATGACAGTTGATCGGGGGACCTTTTTTAGTATAAACACCAAGGCGACCATTTAAAATCAGTACTGTCAACAAGTCAAATAATTTTTACTTGGATTTATATTTACTCTATAAAGAGTTCACAACTTCCTCTGGGCTATTTCCTGTTGTTTGGATGCTGTTTGTGAAGGTCCTGGTTCTTTTCTGGAAGGCCAGATGGTCTCTTGTATACATTTGCATTTATATCTTGCAGACATGTAGATCATTCACATGTTGTTCCTTTCTCTCCTTGCAGGTAGAAATAACCCTTCAGGATATCAATGACAATCCACCCGTGTTTCCTACAGACATGCTGGATCTCACCGTGGAGGAGAACATTGGAGATGGCTCTAAGATTATGCAGCTCACAGCCATGGATGCTGACGAGGTACTTCAGAGCCTGTGTCTGAATTTTTGAAACCATATTCCACTGATCTATCCAATTTCTGCTACATGTTGACAACTTTTATTACCCAATAACTAAGGCTAAGCAGTGTGTATTCTTTTCCAAAGAGAACATTAATTATTGAAATGTATTATAAGAATGTGAATCTAGAGATTATGGAGAGGTAATTTTCCTTAGATCAGCTATTCACAACTCAATTTCTAGTTGCATTTTAGATTTCTTAGCCAAATTATTTTAATTCTTAGAAATAAAAATATACTCATTTTATGCTTTTATAATTTCAATTTTCTATCTTATAGCAGCTAAGGATTGTTTTTTTTGTTTGTTTGTTTTTAATACTAGAGTCCTGGTACATGAAATTTGTGCATTCAGTAGGGAAGGGGTCTCTGAGCCCAGCCTGTGCCCTCTCACAGTCTGGAAGTCCCATGACCAGTCACCCCTGCAGAGGAAGGCCCCACCCACCCTGCAGTACAACCAACTGGGTGGCCTGGGCCTCCCTTTGCAGGGATGATCACGGGATGATGGTGGGACATCACACCCTCCTTGGTTGGGCTGGTTATAGCATGGTCTTCTGGAAGGTCATCCAGATGGTAGTTCTGCTGTTCAGTTGATTTCCATATTATTTGCAGATTTTATTTTATTATTATAGCTAAAAATACAAATTATCACCCTGGCCAGCTGATTCAGTTAGTTGGAGTGTTGTCCAGTACACCAAAAGGTTGCAGATTCCATTCCTGTTTAAGGCACATGCCTAGGTTTCAGGTTAGAAACAGTAAAGGAATCAATAAAAACATGTGAGGATTTAAAACAAAGCAAATTATTTCAAATTAAAAAAAATTAAGGCTATTTTATAATTTTTTTTTTATTTTGTAAGACAAAATATATAATTCAGTGATAGCCTTATATATTAAGGAAATTATCTAGTCAACTCAATGACTTTTTCAATTTTGTTAATGAACAGAAATTTCCTTCCTGGTGGTGAATATGAAATTTGGGAGCATAACTTAGATTACTATCTTCTATATTTATATCTTAAGTTTAACATTATGCTCCAAATGTCATAGAAACTTATATAATTTGTAATTTATATTTTTCCCCATGAAGGAAGTCCATGTCCTGTTTTCTCCTTCTTGCTAGATAAAGGGGTTAATTCAGGTTATAATGTTTGAGAAAGAGGAGTCACTTGTCCAGCCACTAATATTCCCTTTCTCCTTAAACTAAGCCCAGCTCCCATCAGAGAATTTAACCTTCTTACCTTAAGGCTTACACTAACCTCCAGAAGGATTGGAAAACTTGATTTTATTGAGTAAAGAATTTATTCACTGAAGCAAGAATACACTTAGGAGAGTGAAATAAGGAAGGGCATAAATAAGCAACAGGGAAGCGTAGGCTGGGCTGCTTTAGCTCCCTGGGAAGTCAGAGCAAGTGGGGCCTTGGAGACAGGTTAGCTCAGGGTGAGCCGCAGCTGCCCCTTGCTCCCTTGGTTGCAAGTCTTGTGTGACCCCTTGGAGTTGAGGAGAAGTATGTCTATGGGGGAAGGAGAAGGAGAGGGGAAGGGAATGGCATGGACATGCTCCCTGCAGGGAGAACATGCTGGGAACCTTCGTTTCCAGGGGATTTAAAGGCTGGGCATTTAGGGGAGGGTCAATATTAGCTAGCTGATCTTTGGCCAATTGACAAGTTCAAGTGAGAGCTGTTGACTAATCTCACTGGGCAGATCTTATGCAAGTAAATAAGAATCTTCAATTATATCCACCATGGACATTATTGCATATCCAGCTCAGTAATGTCCCTATTCATCTTTCAGATAAGATCCATCTGTGAGCTAAATTAAGTCAGCATGATCAACAGGAGTTTCCAATAAATTCTTCCTAGGAACGAGAAGGTGGCCAGTTAGTAAAACACAACCGTGCATGTCTTCATCCCGCAGAGCAGGTAGAAATGTTGCTGGGTTAAGACTGCTATATCGAATTAAGGTGATATTAGGCACAGAAAGCAAGAGTACTTCATAAGAAGCCAGTCCACTGACAGGAATATTGAATGTAATGAGTGTTCAGTGCAGAATCAGCAGAATGAGAAATATAAATAAATAAAAAAGAGCCCATAACTATACCCTCTGATTGTTTGCATAACACGTCATTAGCAGAGGTAGCTACCATGCAGGGTGGGAACCTCTTGGATACTGACTCTAATATCCTATAGGTCCTTTGTTTATTTTTTATTGAATTTACTGGGGTGACATTGGTTAATAAAGTTACATAGGTCTCAGGGGTACAGTTCTATAACACATTATCTGTATGTTGTATTCTGTGTTCACCACCCCAAGTCAAGTCTCTTTCCATCATCATTCATACCCCCTCTGTCCTCTCCTGCCTCCTCACACCTCTTTTCCCTCCGGTAATCACCATGCTGTTGTCTGTCTCTGAAAGGTTTTTGGGTTTTCTTGTTTAATCCCTTCATCTTTTTCATGCAACCTCCTTCTCCTCTGACAGATGATCTCTGTTGTTGGGTTAAAACTGCCAAAGCATTTCCTTTTTTTCATGTATTAAAAGGTGTTATAAATATGGTATCTCAGAGCAGGATCTTTAAATAATTCGTTCTCTGGAGCTTTTACTTGGATGGATGAGGTCAATCTGATTTTAATCAGACATAGAGAGGTTGAGCTATTAATGAAACATTTGGACTCTAATAGTGACAATATCTAGTCTAATACAAAAACAAACTTTTTTATTTGTTTGTTTTTAGAAGAGTAAAGGATATCCCTCTGAGTCGTTCAGGGTTAATTCGTAGTCCATCTTTACATATTAGATAACCAAGACATTTACTTGAGGTAAGCAGAATTCAAGTTTGCCCTTTGAGACTTTTTTAAAAAATATATTTTATTGATTTTTTACAGAGAGGAAGAGAGAGGGATAGAGAGTTAGAAACATCGATGAGAGAGAATCATCGATCAGCTGCCTCCTGCACACCTCCTACTGGGGATGTGCCCACAACCTTGACTGGAATCAAATCTGGGACCTTTCAGTCTGCAGGCTGACGCTCTATCCACTGAGCCAAACCGGTTTCCGCCTTTGAGACCTTTTATCCCTTTTATGACTAACTGTTGTCAAAGGTAAATGTCATCCTCTTGAGAGTCTAATATGTCCTAAGGCATAAAAGCAAATCATCCACATATTGGATTAGAATGGAATTTCTCGGAAATTCAATATTATTCAAATCACCCTTTAATATCTGAGAGAAATAAGTGGGAATTTCACATATCCCTCAGCGTAACTGTCCCAGTAAACTCCCTTCTTCCCAGGTGAAAACAAAGAGGTATTTACTGCCTTTAAAAAAAAATAAATAAATAAATAAACCAGGAATACTGAAAAAGACACTACATAAATCTATCACTGCAAAATATTAGCAGTCCACAGGGATTGCTGATAATAGGGTATGTGGATTTGGAGCCATGGGGCTTCTGTGAATAACTGTTTTATTTATAGCTCTGAGATCCTGTGCAAATCTCCATCACTTCCCACTGGGTTTCTTTACCTGAGGACAAGAGAATTCTAGGTGCTTGTGTATGGAATTATAAGCCCCCCCCCACCCCCTTTAAAGTAACCTTACATAATGGGCTTAGTTCCAGCCTGTGCATCAGGTCTTAAAGGATATTGGTGAATATTAGGTAGAGGCAACATACTGTAGCGGCTGAATTGGTTTTGCCAATATCTGTACTGGAAGAGGTCCCGAATTAGATTGTAACATCCTGCAACAAACATTCCATCAGTCTCAAGATTAGTTTCCTCTTGTAGAGATTCCTTTAAAAATTATTATTTTCCCAAATGCTTTAGAATCTGATTCACTTAGTTCTAAATACATTTCACCCTTCAGGGAAAAGGCTATGTGGTGGTTTCAAGAAAGTCTCACCCTATCTGGTGAATTGGAGTAGATTGGACTAGGACTAGTAAAAATATATGTTGCCCATATCATTCCCTAGTTAGCAGGTGCTGATTAAAAGACAAACATTGGTTGCCCTAGCTGGTGTTGCTCAGTGGATAGAGCATTGGCCTGTGGACCAAAGGGTCTGGTTTGATTCCTCGATTTCAGGGCTCCTCCCTGGCCTGGGCCCAGGTCGGGGTTCATGCAGGTGGCAACCAGTCAGTGTGTTTCTCTCACATTGACGTTTCTTTCTGTCTTCAGCTTTTCTCTTTCACTCTCTCTAAAAATTAATGGAAAAATCTCCTCGTGTGAGGATTAAAACAACAACAAAACAGACGTTGGTGGATTAGATATCTCTACCATTTGTACAGAAGCTTTGCTCTGAAGGAGAGGCCAACTTAAGTTGGGTGTGGTTAAGAAGAGAAGTAGCCCCAGTCTGTGCAAGGGCCCAGTAATTCCCCCTTTTATGGTAATTTAAGTTTCTCTTAAAGTATTAGTAAGGAGAAGGGGAAATGCCCTCATCGTCCTTGGAGCAGAACTATGCTTGCTTCTGTTTCTTTTCTTTTTCTAAATCCCATTTCACTTTCTCAAATCTCCTTCTTAAGGTGACTTGACTTTTTAAAGTAAGAACAGACTTCTCTCTCCCCTTTTCTAAGAGACCTTGGGGAGGTCTGACCTCATTGCTTAATTGCTGGAGCTGTAACTTCATGATTTGGCAGCTTAATCTTTTTCTCTCTTTTGAATAATTTTAGTTGATCAGCCAGAATTGCCAGTTCATGGTACACATGGTTGGCCAGTTTAATTTACATTGTTTAATCAGAGTTATAAGCTCTTCATTTAAACCTTCCCAAAATGCCAAATTTCATAAGGGATCATTGGATGATCCTTAAAACTGTCTGGAGACAGACTGGGTAAGGTTTGAAAGCTTTTTTGAAACATTCAAAGAAACATAAATTGATGGACCTTTGATGGACCTTTGTCCAGTCCATTTTCCGAGGAAAAATCTCAGGTATGCTTATGGGCTAATTCCCTGCATTTTCCTAGTCTTTCTCTCTCCATTT